TGTTAGTCCTCTTCTTCCCCATCTCCTCCCACTGCAAGCTGGTAATATTAAGCATAACATGGTTTATAACCCAGACTGACATTTGCACAATAACTGATGGCCATCTGTTAGGGCGGCACAATCTTGAGGCATCAAGAAGGTGAAGAGGTAAAGCTGAAATGTTCTAAACCTGACTAAAAAAATGTAAATGTATAACAGTGCAAATTTTTTTTCTGGGTTTATAAATAAGAAAGTAACACTGAGCAGTACCCACTTCAAATGATGCTGTAGTGTTACCCACACAATACAATGCAATCTTTTCATTCCTTTGGAGGTCATCTTCAAAGAAGGAATTGTTTTTCCAGCTGAACAGAAACACTACCCCATGCTTGTAAGAATTCAACACTGCTAGTAGATATCTCATCCACCAGTGTCCCTAAACATCTATCAAAAATATCTCTCAATTATTTAATTAGATTTGTCTTTGACAGAGCATTATGTCCAAAATCAAGGATATGATTAACGTTTTCCTAGTACCTAGGAAAGATTTGCTGACTTCAACAATTTTTCCTTCTGGCCCTAATCTACATCATCTTTCCATTTGCCATAGGTTACATTCCCAGATGTTAGAGCAACGTCTGCCTGGTTTGTGCCTTAACACAAATGAGCTAAGGAACAAACATTTGTGCCTGAGCTGTCTAGATTCTACTACGGTCAAGTTCAAATATTCAGAAGTCATGAAATAGACCTTGCTAATCCTGAGATTTTTTTTAATTTTTTTTTTTAGAAATCATGAGATTTAAAAAAAATTAAAAATTAGATGGGGATTCATACTTGCTATCTGAGTTAAAAGCCTTTAAAACTCACATTTCAAGTTTTACCTGATAACTGCTAGACTTGGTTCCGTGTGAAAACTGCATCAATTCCAACCTGAATTGCTTTTTAAATCACAGAGCAATTCATTACAGGAACATATACCTGTCAGAGAAAGAATTACCCGTTTTCCTTAAACCTGTTTAATTATCACTGTGAACTAAAACAGGGAAGCCACTTGCATTGAAACTAGTCTGCACACAACCCTTTGCTCAGGTTAATTGTGTGTGTGCAGATGGTGAATTTTTTCAACCTCATGAGATTCATACTGAAACCTTGACACAGCTGAGATCCATAAAACATTTGACAGCCCCAAGAGAGCTGGGGGACTTCCACTGTTTCCTTTCCCCTCAGCTAGGATATGATGCTGCCCTCCTGGCATCCCGCTGCCCCTGGGAGGTGTCTCTGGTTCTGCCACCTTGGGCAGTCCAAGCCATCTCCCATAGGCCCTCGCAGCTGGGAGGACAGCCCAGTCCCGGAGATGCACAAGCTCCTTGAACCCACATGAACAGCTGCACAGCTACAGGTTGATCATTCCTGACACAGCATTTCGATGTATACCCATTAGGAAATTGCAGGGCAATTTTTCACCTGAATGTTTTTAAGTTAAACCTTCAAACACTGGAGCCTTATGATGAAATTACCAGGATTTGTGACATTGGCATTCATTACTTTCCCTGCTGCCCCCAAGTTTGCAGCAGCAGAGGATGTGACAGGAACAGCCTTTAACATCTCAGATATGGCAGCAGCCAGGCTTTGCATTAAGATCAAGCTATTCTGCGTTCCCAAAAAACATGCTAGCTCCTGAGCACTACACACAAGTGGAAACCACTTCAGTTCTACTGAATATTGTATAAAACATAAATCATTCAGTATGTGCCAAGACCTGCCCTTCTCTTCTACTATGTACTAAACAGTGAGCACACACACAAAAAAATAAATTCGGAGATTTCACCTTTATTTTAGGAACAGCACTGACTAAGCAACTAATTTCTTTCCAGACATTATCGTAGGATAAACAATTTCTAGTTTTCACAAACCAAACTATGCACAACAGAGCTGCACTATAAGGAATCAAGCAAGCCACCCTATCAATCACTTATTATTAAGGGTGGCTTGGCTTGTTCTGTGATACCATTTACGGCTCAGGTCTGCCCTTGGGCATACTCAAACTATTTGCAGTGTAGGACACTGCACAACCATCCAGAGGCAGAACTGCTTGAAGCTGTAGTATAAACTTGAACAGAATAAAAGGGAAACCTGTATAATGCAGACCCTTCACTGTACTCACTTCACTTCCTGGCCCCATCCCTTTCTCTTACATGAATTAAACTATTTAAGCTCTGAACCTTCAGAAATATTTTTAATTCAGGCAGACAGAAAAAGCATGGTGGGACCACAGGGCACAGAAGCACAGCGTCTCTACAGAGCTAAGTGCGGCAATTTGAAAATATCTCACCTTGAAATTAAATGGTATTGGATACAGTACAGGAGGGGTTTTGTGTATATTTTTAAAAAGGTCATCTCTCATGTACAAGTATTGAAGCAAGCCTTAACAGAAACATTATTACACTGTAAATTGCTTAACTGGTCAAAAGCAGTGAAATATTACCCTCAGACTGCAATCCTCAAACTAAATAGGAACATAAATCAGCATGACTGTTGCTGGTATCATCAAGTCTAGGACACTGGGTGCTCCCACCAGCCTTACTTTCTAACTATTGGCTGCCTTCGTCTCCTTACTGTATAAATTATCCAGAAACATTAGCACTCTCTGCTGTTCCAATGTGATTGGAAGACCCTAAAGGATATTTCTGTATACTGCTTAAGCAAAGGGTTAGCTTTGTGCAGTATCATGTGATCAACAAAAAAAACCTCGAGTACTGCTTGCTTGTGGGTGGTGCAGAGGAACAAGAAGTGACTCACAACTCATAGTGGAAAAATTGGGGGGAAAATGTTTTAAATAGTCAGGAAAGTACAAAATGGCAAACCACAATTATTGGACTTCCTACGCCCTATGTACTGGGTGGCAAAACCATGTCTTTGCTATGAGAAGACTGATGCCCAAACATATAAATTTTAAGTAAAGCAATTGCTGCTTTTTGCTCTATTCTCCTAATAGAGAAAGCCTCTACATGCCCTGAACCTGCAAAGTCCTAAGGAAACCCAGAAAGAAACTGGAATAAGCTACCAAATTCCAGTGTGACATGAAGGGGCTGGGGAGGAACCCAGCAAAAGCCTTTGGTGGGGCAAAAGCTCTCTATTTTATCTCATTCTTAAGATGCAGAAATAAAACACTGAAAAAATCCACACATTTGAGATTAATAGGCTGATATTTATCCATGTGCCACTCTGGTTGCTAAGAGATTTCCTTTCTACAGCACTGTGTTGTATAAACAATAAAGCATTTTTGTCCACAAAGCAATTGTCTCACCTCACTGGATCAAGAGCCTCTCACTGCTACATCCCTTCTATATTGTTCTAATTACAAACTGTGAGAAAGCACCCTCACACAAAGACAGTATACAGATATGGTTGGGCATGCTATTGTTAAACTTGAGCACATTAAGTACAGCGTGGGCTTCCTGCATCATGAGTAGCGTTAGCTGAGAGACTATACATTTTATCTCACAAGCTATAGGTAGAGATGGGTTAACAACCTGGCTCCTAAAAATTCTTAACTGCTGTGGTAAATTTCACCTGGGGAGAAAAAAACCCACCCCAAGTTACATTACAGACCTGCACATAACCTAAAGAGCAGACAGGAAAAATATTACTAATTCAGGGCAGTTTCAAACAGCAGTGCCTCAAAATTGGCCCCAAAAATAGAATCTTATTTTCACACTTTCCTTTATATTGGAAGATGATTCAGAAGATCTTTGTATATACATTCACACAGAAAAAATACCTACAGTTAACATGCTGCAGTACATTCGCTGCAGCCATCTAAACAGTCTCCTAATGTGCTCACTAGAACAGAAGGCAGTAGGTTTCTTGGTGCCTTTCCTTAGGTATAGTACTGCCACAGCAGAGAAAAAAAGAGAAAAGGGCAGGGAAATGCTGACTCTCACCCAACCGAAAGATGCACATATGTTAGAGGAAATCTACATGTCATTTAGGAAGCACATGCACTGCTTCTCTGAGCATATGAAGATTATCCAGTCCCCCTTAGGGGGATTTCACAAATGCACACAGAAATACTACATGCCCAGGTTTCCACTAAGACAACTGACTTCTTGATAGGTTCTTGGAAAATTATAATAAAATACAGCCAAAGACAAGAAATCACGGCAGGACCTTATTGCTATGGAGCAGAGTACAAGGTGTCATTTTTAAGGACAGAGCCACAGAACTGCCAAAGTGGCTGGCCTCTTTTATCTGTCATTATGCCACAAACCATAACTATTTTGCTTTATACCTTAGAGAGAAACAGGAAGACTGGAATCGCACAGAGGCTCCTGAATTGAACAATGAGCAATGCAGTGCCTACTGAATTTTTCGGGTCCTAGTGTGCTGAAGGGTTTTCTGCAGCTAAGACAAATCTACAGCAGAGAAAAAACAGGCTCTGCAATCCCAGTCACATATTTCCCTAACAAAAGAAAGTTGATAATAACAGATTGTTACAACTCAATTCTGTAGAACAGCTTACCCTTAAGAAAAAAAGGGAACAGTGAAACACCTTATTTCTGTAACATTATCCCAAAAACGGATGTTTCAGAAGCCAAACATGTGACACAGTCCCAACACAAAGAAAAAAAACCTGCCTCCATACACATCGCCTTAAGTACATGTATGTACGGCTAAACTATTATGCTGTTAAACCTTTGAGAGAGCTCAGCATTTAACCTCACATCACAGTTACAAACTATTTTCAACTCACTCACAGTTTGCATATCATGGTAACACAGGTGATTTATCTAGGAAATGAAAGCACACCTTCTGCATCATCACTGCAATCAACTAATATCCAATTAAACATTCAATTGCTTTGCAAACCCCACAGTCATAGTTATCAATGCTATTTTACAACGTTAACAAATTACTCAGCTACCAAGTTACACGCAAGAACAAGCTTTGATACTTCAATTGCAAGGTAAGAAAATTAAAACAAAAGAAACCCTGTCAGAATTTGGCACAGATCTAGATACCTTTTTCTTCCGATACCGGGATCTTTTCCTGTGTTTTCTTTTTTTCTCAGTCTCTTCATCAGCATTAATTTCTAAATCCCTGTTTTTCTTTAACTGTGATGCTGCGTGAGCCATAATGCATTAAAAATCCTTTACAACAATGCTCCCTTGGAAAAGGTGATTTCCTCAGGCACCTTTAGCCAGCCCTTACAGCAACTGTTCCAGTGATTGGAAGGAAATCTGTGACCAGAGCCAGGAACACATTCAGGATTCAGAATCTCACAGAAGCTTGCAGTCACTATAAAAATACATAGTTGCAGATTTCTTCTTATACCTTTCTGTACCTGAACCTTTATAAAACAGTGCAGCCATCGTAATGCATTTAACGTAATGAAAAAGACAGCTGGGACAGAGAAAGCTGTATTATGGCTGTATCCCCTGCCACCAGCTGGAAGTGTCTAAGTGACTCCACTGTAGGGGGAATGCTGAAAAGAAGCGCTTTCTATTAAAAAAAATTCCAGAACAATAACATATGCTGTATTGTATTTTCTTCACTAATCCTAAAGCATGTTTTTAAAACCTATTTAAAAATGCAGTGGTAATGATGTACATTTCTCAGCTAGTTTTGTATGGTAAGCCATTTAACCTATAATGAAATGGAGCAGCTCCTACTTTAGGTTAACTGCTGATGGTGACAAAAAAATAAAATAAAAATTTCTTTTTACCATGGAGACCCTGACTGCATTATGCAGAAAACAATGCATGCATTGCCGTATCTTAACAGTGTGTCCTTTATACCCATTTTTCAATTCCAATACATTTTGTGAGAGAGGATTACAGAAAGCCCTGTTGTCTTTTTTTCCTTTTTTTTTTTTTAAACATACTTATTACAACACATCATACAGAAAGATAGATGCAATCACACTAGTGTGTGAAACAGGCATTTAATTCATGGGAGATTTCCTGGCACCGTTCTTTTACGTGGTCAGAAAGGGAAATCAGCGCTCTCTCCATGTAGTTGGAAATGTACTTTTAGGCTTTTATGTCAAGGCTTGCTTCAATCATCTTACTATTTTTGCCACCTGAGTCCTCAATGACTGCAGCTTTTGAATATTCATTATGGGAGGTAAAATAGCAGCAGTATTAAGGCCTGCAGGAGGATCTTTTACTAGGATGAACACAGAGCAAGCATCTAGTAAATAAGGAACCTTATTTTTTCTACACAAATATGAACAATCAGCAGCTTGCCTTGAGATTGCTGGTTTCAACCTTTCCTAGTATTCCTAGTAGCATACTTCGCAGTAAGGAAGATTAGCATTTTAAGGCAGTCTGATTTCTTTCAGATAAGAACCAGTCTCCACAAGTGAAACCAGTGTATTTTACATGATACTAGCATTTATTTCCAGACGGAAAAAAAACAGAATTTGCTGTAAAAAGTTAAATTTGAAGTGCAATTAGCCATATCATATTGAATCTTCAGAGTGTAGCACAAAATCCAGAGGTCTCACGAGTTTATAAATATTCTTCCCCTGAACTTGAGAGAAGTTTTCTGAATCCAGGTTGTTGAGTTCCAGTGACAAGCATCCATTGCTTTAGTTTTCACATAACATGGCTAAAAGTAAAATAACCCTTTAAATCTCCAAAACAGAAACTGCTTTGAACACACTATATGTTGTCCAAAAGGCAGCACATAGTGCACTGCTTGTCTACTGTTCACAGGCTAACAAACTAAGTTTAAAAAGTTGTTTATTTTGGAATGCCTTTTAAGAAATACTCAAGGATGGAGACCACAGTTACATGACCTTAGGGACCTTGCTTCCTGATGCAGTAAAATCACAGGTTCCTGTCTGTATCCAAAACTCCCCATACCACACACCAACATGTACCTCTCCCTACTCCTCCTCCAGATCTGAAAGGTTTCTGAAGACTTATATAATGTTGTCTTTGGAAAGTTGTGGAAAGAGGAACGTTGCGTTTGGGCAATGCCTGGTTTTGAACCAGAAGAAGAAAATTCCTGCTTCTCCACATGCTGTAGAAGCTTGAATAAACATATTTCTATTTTTAAAGATGCAAAGAGTATACTCAAAGGACGCCCAAAGCATGCTTTCAACTGTAAGGCAAGGAGCATAACTGCAAGCAGTCAAAGGCCACATTCAGGCAGGTATCTGGATTTTGGCCCAGCTCTTCAGTGAAGCACAGGGCAGCAGTGAGAAGACTGTATTGTACCACAGGAGCCCTGCTGGAGAGGGGAACTGGGCAGAGCTGCTGACTTAGGGGGTCTAGAGAAGGTATCTCAAGGAGGCTGGTGGAGAAACTCTCAAGTTTCAATGGGAAACAGAAGACTGCCTTGTGCTCATTGAAAGAATAAAAAAAAAAAGCACCCAAGGCTTCACTTTCTACCTCACAAGCTGCCTGCATGACCTTGGCAGTTATTTTCTCTCAAGCTCAGTTGTTTCTCTGTAAAATAAAGCTGACATTAGTTTCCCTGTCTGACAGAACGCAGTTATTAGCAGTGGTTAGAAAATACAGCAGGACCAGAACTGAAAATGGATTAAATGAAATTCAGTGGAGTTGGATCCCTGTTATTCCTAGCACATTTCCATCTGGATTTGGAAGACTCATGAGCCTTTTGCCTTAGGAAAACAACTTCTTATTCGAGCCACAAATGAAGCGAATGCTGCTGTCGTTCACCACTTGCTAGCTAATTCGGTGACCTTCCATAAACCTTTTAACCATACTAAACTGTAATTTATCCCTAAATAACCTCATTAAATGGAAATACAAATAACGCATTATAAAGTCTTATATGTTTAAAATACTCAAAGCATACTTTTTAAAGTGTTGGCACAGAGAAAAACACACACATACACAGGTTAAAAGCCCTAACACTGCCTTATGCACAGGCCATATTCTATGCAGGTAGAAAGCAGCCCAAGCTTTTATTAATGAGAATAATTCTAACAAATGAGGATAATAAGTGAACTCACCCAATCCCTTGAGATATGCATAAGTGCAAGGATTTTATCTGTCAGCCAAGCCTGCTTCATCCCAAGTATCTTTTCAGCTAATTAACCAACTGGACCAAACACATAGATGTTTTTATTATGTGGATTACAATCCCTGCTTGAACTGCAGAGTCCAAACTCCTCATGAATTAGATTTCAGGAAGAAAAAAAATGCCTTTTCAAGCTAGGATTTTGAGAAAATTGTGTCTTAGCTAGTAAAGCACCAGTCCAAAAAAAAAAAGGAAGATCCCTTATATTTGGAGCAATACAAGGGAGACTGTGTTGCTTGCAGGCTGGAAAAGTCTCAAACAGAAAAGAGGTTACAAAAACGTGTGAGTAAAAGATTCAGACCCCTGTGAAAAAGAAACTGTATATGTACAACTTCTGCTTTTGGGGAAATGGTGAACTGGCATCATTCACTAGAAGGTGATAGGGCATTGCCAGACAAAAGTTGGATGAAGCGTGAAGGTTTTCATGCCAGATATGTCATAACTCACTTCAAGGGAATTAGGTACTGGAAAAGTTCATTAAGTGCTTCTTTTCAGACTTCAGTAAAATAATTAAGCTATTTGATTTCACCTTTAATTACAAAGTTAATGAAATGCCAATGAGTCTTTCAGCACAATCCATAGGGTCCTGATAAAGTTATGGAGAATGATAAACTGTATCTTACTTGAACAATAGGAAATTTACACTTTCTGTGAGTGCAAGGATAACATCTACTTAGCTTCATCTACTCAAAGTTGTAATGGCTGAGAACTGATTTTATCAACTTGAAAGTGCGTCATTTGGTTTAGTTTAACCTGCTAGTCCCACTGTTAAAACTAGATTCAAGAGACTGCAAAATGGCATTAGCACGTAACATTGAGACAGACCTTGAAAAACCACAAGAAATTATAGGGATAGGAAAAGTGTTTGCAATCTAATTATTGGAGTTAACATCAATTAGCAGCTTATGGAGCAAAGATGGTACCATCACTTATACATTTAAATAATTATGCAGCACAAAAAAAAAAAGAAAAAAAAAGATGAGACAATCATTAAAATATTGGTTTACTAAGAATATGCCAAAAAAGCTCTTTTAGGGAAGATGGAACACCATAGAAACATTTGATATTTACATTATTTAGATCACTATGGATCAAAGAAGGCTTATAATCACACGCAGTGCTAGTAGGTCACTATAACTCTTACTGGTAAACAAAGTATGTTTACATTCCCAAAGACAAAAACAAACATTATAGGTAGAATAAAAAGAGCAAAGGAAAGGAAAACACATGAAGAAAAATAAAGCCAATTCTTGTTAGGTTACTCTTACATTCTTAATCTCTGAGTTGTCTGGTACAGAACAAATAGAGTGGAGTCTATCCAGAGCCCGGCTCTGGATTATTTTGTTGAGAAAAGCAGTGGAAGTGAGAAGAAAAACAGAAGAAAAAGAACAAGGCATACTAGAAATAAGGGCAATATCAATTTACATGAAAATAACACTTTAGGAGAAGACTAAGCAGAAGAAATAAGAGTTCTGGTTAAAAAAAAAAAAGCTGTGTGAAAGTTAAGTCACAAAAGAACTCTTTAAAGGAATCTCGTCAGATTTGTCTGCTCACATGTTAGACTAGCAGGTCTTGTATCTCAAAACCAAACCAACAAGATTAAAAGCTTATTTAGCATCTAGTTTTACTTTTATCTCCTTTTCACACATCTGATGTCAGGACAGGATGGACCCATCTCCAAACAGGCAGAAAATCAAGGTCACTAAGTAGCAAATGAATAGAAAATAAGAAAGTTAAGGCTTGTTTTGCCCTTCTGTTTTGTTGCATTGGGCTTCCCCCACCACCTGCCTCTTCTAGCAGAATTCTGTTTTGGCAGTAACAATCCCAGAGAAACTCTGAGGAAACATGACAGGGTCAGAAAGGGATGCATGCACTACATGGAGAGGAGAGAAATATCTAACTTGCATTTTATAGACCACGTTTATAGTGCTTGCCTCAACTTCTTCAAACTTATAGTGTAAAATTTGGAACTTTATTGAATTGTGGGTTTTTTCTTATTTGACTTCTTTATGGCACAACGGTATTAAAAAAAAAAAAAAAGCTTTGGAAATAACAGAAATTCAGGGATGCAGTGATAATGGCCAGATATTTGAAACTGAGGGTATGTGTACTGTCCTACCAAGAGGCTTACTACTTCTTAAATGAACCTGCTGATCTCACTGGAAATTGAAGTAGAAATGCTAACAATTGTAAATGTAAAAAACCTCAAAATAAAAACCTTAAAACCCCCAAACACACCCA